CCCTGGAGAAAAGAGACAAGCCAATGTAAGGCGAGTCCCTGTATTCCCACGTCGGCGAGGTGGTGGGCAAGCAGCTGGTGGTCGACCATGTCGAATGCAGCCGACAGATCTAGCAACAGCAATGCCGCCGACCCGCCCCAATCCAGGTACCTACGGAGGTCGTCAGTAAGAGCGACCAACGCCGTCTCCATCCCGTGACCTGGGCGAAAACCGGACTGGAAGGGATCAAGAGTAGAAGCGTCATCCAGAAAACCCTGAAGCTGTACCGCCACCGCCCTCTCAATCAATTTGCCCAAATAGGGCAAATTGGAAATCAGCCATTAGTTGGCCAATTTGGCCGGATCCAGAGATGATTTTTTTCAAGAGAGGACGGACCATCGCCTACTTGAGAGCTCCCGGGAACTATCCTTCAATGAGAGACTTGTTGATAATCTCCTTAAGAGCTCCTTGAAACCCTTCATGGCCCGCTTTAATGATCCAGGAAGGGCACGGATCAAGGGCGCATGTGGTTGGGCGTACAGTTACTAGTAATCTGTCAATTTCCTCAAGGCTGAGCAGGTCAAAATGATCCAAAACTGACACAGATGTGCAAGGGGCCTCGAGTTCACTCACTGTTTCAAGTGTGGCGGGGAGATCACACCAAAGCATCAAGACTTTATCCGCAAAATAGCTCGCAAAAGCCTCACAGCCAATCTCCAATTCCCTCTCCTTTGGGCTGCCCTGAGGCAGAGCAGTTATAGACTGAATTGTTCTAAATAATTGGGGTGGGCGTGAGCTAGCGGACACAATCTCCTCTGCAAAGAACACCCTCTTTGCAGCCTTGACTGCCATCTCATAGGATCTCATAAACGTCCTATAAGATGCTCTTGTGGCTTCATCGCGAACTCGTCGCCACCGTCTCTCCAGCCGTCTTAACTCCCACTTCATACCCCTCAGCTCCTGAGTATACCATGGAGCGAGTTTAGCACGGGAGCACAGAGGGTGCCAGGGAGCGATCTCGTCAATGGCAGTAGAGCAGCCTTGACTGCCATCCTCAACAAGCTCATCTAACGAGCCGCTGGGGGGCATTGGATCCCGCAGGGCCCTCTGAAGCCGCAAATGGTTCATTAGGCTCTGCAGGCGAGCTAAAATACACTCACCACCTAAACAGGTCGGGGTGGAACATTCAGACGGGCCTTCAGGGCATGGTGGTCCGGCCATGGTACTGCCAAGGCAGTAATCTGGTCCACTGTTACCCCAGCCGCAAAGACCAAGTCAAGTGTGTGACTGGCCCGGTGAGTGGGAGTCGTTATAGTGTTAGTGTTATGCACCACTAGGTGGCAAGCTAGACTTGTTTTCAAGGCAAGAGATGTTTCAGAGGTGGTTTGCCATTGCCTGCGTCCATTCAAATACTAGCCAAGGCTGACCCTGCTTAGCTTCTGAGATCTGATGAGATTGGGCTAGCTTGGGCTATCCAGGTCAGGGTTCTGCCTGAAGTTATTCCGTGTTACTCAAGAGTAAAGGACAAACAATTACACTTCAGTGCAACAAAGGTGTGACAATGTGGTCTTTGACAATTACATACAAGGGGTGTGTGTGTTGGTGAGGACTGAACAGGACATCTTCCCTGCTTGCAACTTTCTCCTATAAATAAGAGCAACTTTTAGCATGCCTTCATTTTTTCTCCCCATGGCCTCAGAGACCAATCCAGTTCTATCTTCTTCCCAACAACTAATTTCATGCTTGAAATCAGATCCATAGATGGAAACCACTTTGGCACAGACATTGCTGTAGAACCACAACTATGTACTTAGGCTTAGCCAGACAGTACCTTTTGCTCTTCTTATATGCCTCTTTCTTGAACGCAGCCTTATTCTTTCCTTATAAAAAATGAAAGGGTGCATGGGTTGGCAAACCATGCTCCCCACCCCCATGCATTGCCACTGTTAGTCACAAATTCAGCCACAGAACATAGGTTTCCCTTGCTTGAAAGCCAGTCGAATCCGACTCTATGGATGTGGTGCTCATCTCCGTTTTCAAGCTGAAGAGCCAGTGCTGTCCAAAGACGTTTCCGTGGTCATGTAGTCAGCACGACTAGACACTGAGGCGCATGGAACGCTGTTACCTTCCCACCGAAGTGGTACCTATTTATCTACTTGCAGTTTCTTGCTTTCGAACTGCTAGGTTGGCAGGAGCTGGGACCAGAGACGGGAGCTCAGATGTTTGCATTGGTTCACAGTTGTGCTCTGTGTGTTTGTGGAATAAGAAATAGTGGGATACCTGTCTCCCCCCTCCCTTCTAGCTCATCTCAAGACGTGGTCCATAGGAGGCTGGTGCACATGTCTTCAAGGTCATCCTCCCTTCTGCCTTGCACCAGGAGGGGGACAGCGGGATCGTAAGTCCTCACAAACACTGCTGGTGGAGATGAACCCTTCAGGTGACCTGTGCAGTAAGGGTGGAGGCTGAGAAAGACATCAGCTGAGAAGGGATCAGCTGGAGCTTGCACAGGATGGGAACAACAACAACGAAGAAGAGCCAAGTCTGACAGGTGACATAATGCAATGGAAGAGATTGGCTTCAATGAGTGGCTGGTGGCAGCTCTCTGAGGATATGCACAGCACAACTTCCTCTGACATGCGGCCACACCAGTGCTCCTACATAATTTCCCTGCAAGGCATTCTTAATAAGCTATGCACCCATGGCTTCCCATGTGCTCTGTGCCACATGTTGTTCCAACAAACCTCAGCTTCATATATGTCAGTAGTGACCAGTCAGTGTTTCAGCGGCATAGGAGTGATGTATTGCAGTCCCAGGGGCGAGGGAGTGAGTGAGGGTACAGGAAGGATAAAACACAGACAACCCTGCTGGAGGCAAAATAGGTCACAGATTTTATTAAATACAATCACAAGAGCATTTGGCACAGCATTGAGCCCGAATCCAGCACTGGGCAACCCGCCTACCAGCTGATGACACCAAGCCTCATTCCAGCTCACCTGCTGGAGGAAAACCATGTGAGGATGGCAAGTCCTGAGGTTCCACTCG